GGTACATAGGAATAAAGAATGTGTCAACCTGATACTCGAGTAAAGGATGTAGCAGAATTAGAAAATACTTAAGAGGCCAATCAAATTGTTTGATATTATTCATAAAACCATTTTTAATAGTAGAAAATATCGAACAGATAGGTTTGAAGAAATAGAGATGGTAGTCCACAATGGCCATGCATTCCCTAGAAACTATCATTTTTCAAGAGATCAAATGGTAGAATATTATAGCGATAACACATGGAAGGCTATCAATAAAGCTTTTTAAGGTTCTCAAGCGATATGGCTTATTGGATTTGGACTTGGGAAAGGCGAAACATTGGAAGAGATCCAGTTAATATCCCAATTTATTCTAGAAAATGATTGTATATTTAGAATATGGATGAAGCATACAGATATTATAAAAGCATGTAAGGAATTATTTAAGGATACAGTAGACTAGCAATTTTGAGAAAGAATAATTAATAAAGACAGAAAGCAGGAGTCCTTAAAATCACTTAAAGTAGTTGAGATAGCATAACAGATGTTTAGTGCTAATCATGTCAGAGGTAAACTTGTCAACAAGATCAATCATTAGCATCCTACTCTGGCTAGTGTACATAAAAATATAAAGCAATCTTGTGTCGAACATGAGTATGGAGGACGCTGAAATGTGCCTAATTATCAAGTCAAAGATGTTGTATGTATAGACATGAAGGAATGCTATTTAGCAAGTATGTGTGATTAAGGAGAGTGTTCACCATGGTTTAAGCAGTTTGGGCATCCAACACACTATCTTGTTCGAGTAGCAGTTAATGGAAAATTACCACAAGATGACATAACTGGATTTACGCAGATAAGATCTTTCAAATTTGTCCCAATATCCATCCAGCAATTCCCATTTGATATGAAAAACATTTTGCTTGTTGAAGTGGAGAATGATGTGGGAAGATAAAAAGATGGACACCTATTGTGCTTCTACAATATCTTCTCGAAATAGGTATTCTAGAAAGTGTAACTATAGGAGAAGCTATTATTTCTCTTACTAAGCAAATAAAGGTATGGTTACCTAAAAATCAGAATATAAGTTGTGCAATTATAGGAAAATTCACACAAGGAAATAAAATTAAAGAAAAACGCCTTACTCATTAGGTTATAATAGATGAAAGTGAGCTCAATTTTTTGATCCAGAATTGCATTAAGAAAGAGATATATACAGGTAGTGATAAATGTCTGCTTGGGCATATATTTACATATTACGAAGGTCATCAGCCTTAATATACATATTTACGAGCCTTGATTTTAGTTTATACTCATATAAACTTGCTAGAAATGCTCTGGAGATTTGGTCCTAATAAAGTAGTAAAAATCGCAACAGATCCTATATATATACGAAGAGAGGCCTTATATAAGATTGAAAATGTATCTGCCTTCTTCAAGCAAGCTAAAAGCCTTCTCAATCACAAGGAAGAGGCAGATATTAGTAAGTTTCAATATCTATATAAAATTCCTTCTTATGCAATATGTGAAGTAGAAGTCTTTTATTTAAAAGAAGTAGTCAAAGAATTTGCTAAAGAAGTGAAAGTTTACTACGTGAATAAAATAATGGACTATTTGTCATATAACGAGCATAAGCCATTTGTATATGCCATTTGTTTTGGAAATGGTACTTTCACTTAGGTTCTCAGAAGAATACCAAACCCAGTAAAGTTGTTACCAAAGAGTCTGAGTCATTAAAAGAGGAAAAGATTCGAGAAATTTAGTTTGGTCAATGATATGATAAAGGTGAGAAGATTCATGGATCAGATCCTAATGTCGTATATTGGCCAAAAAATAGGCATTAGGAATCGATTAAAAATATTACCAAGAGTATTGTTCCATCAATTTGTGATCCTATTATAAGATCCTGAGTTTCATATCTTAATGGAGGCGATGGTTCTGAGAAGATAACACGTAAAATCTGAATCTTTAAAGATATAAACATGGTAGTCTTTACTCATACGAATGCATTGACTAAAGACTTCTAGAATGATCGTAAGGTAAAACCTAAATTTGGCATAATTTCTTTAAGTAGAATGGTATAGGAGAATGGACTCCTGAACGCATGGGAGAAAAGAAATTCCCACAAGTTATCATCTGAGATGAAGTATATACAGTACCTAGACATATTCTAGAAAAGTTTATAGATTACTTACTAAAGCAAAAATGTCAGATAATCTGTTGTGAGAATGACATTCAACCTCCACCATTTTTTGGAGAAATGCCTTATGACTGGTTAAAAGAGCGAGCTGATTATTATGAGGAAGTCTTGACCGATTATCAGGCCAAATGCCTTAGATTACAAAAGCTTAAGAAAAAAATGCAACATCAAAATAACAGAATGCAGTCAGATCTATTCTGTGAAGCACTTTCGGTCACAGAAAAATGGGAATATCTTGAAGCTGAATGGAAGCCATCAGATCGTATCTTATCAGTACATCTACTTTCCCAAAGAATTACTTTCCAAAGATGCTTAAAACTTCATCGAGAAAAATATCCTAATGTGCTGATCCTATTAATCTATAGGCCAAGAGATAGACGTAAATAAAATTGTCTTATTCCGATCCTTGGCTCATTCGAAAAAAGAAATTAGTGAAAAATGATATAATACACTTGCCCTTAAATACACTCCCTGACAAATTCTTAAAAGATATGTTGGCAGATAAAAAAATCATAGATTAGGAATTTGGATATGCTATGACTATTCACACTAGTCAAGGAATGACTCTTAAAGCTCTACAGAGTGTTTGGATCATTGATGAAAACCTAGCTTAGGATAACCTAATATATTTAGCTGTTGGTTATGTGAAATATTTAAGCCAACTCATTCGGGTTGAGATGCCTCCGTTACCTCCTGAAATTGCCTAAGAGATTGAGAAGGCAAAAAAGAATAGACAGCTAGAGCACGAATTGAGACCATCTATTCAGGAAAAACTTCTCTTCAAGATATCGAAAACACTATCAAAAATGGCAATATTGACTTAACTGCTTTGGCTGAATCCATATTTTTTCTCGGGGAAAGTTATATTAATAGTATCAGATATATAGGCCAGGATAAGGAAAAAGTCTGTAAATTCGATCTAACAGTCGACTATATCCTCATGTTAAAACATATTCAAGAAGACAAATGCGCATTATGTCTCATTGAAATGAAATTTGAATGAAATCGGCCAGAAGATATATCCCAATAGACAGTAGATCGAATATATAATAATTTGGGATATATCAAAGGGAACGTACGCCTCACCTATCTTCTATGCAACTGAAATCACAGAATCTAGTTTATGCCAGTGATCCAGACTAGTGATATGATGTATATATACAATTAGAGGAGGCAAATTGCAGTACTTATATAATTATAAGATTTTTTTGACACAATAAATATTCAGTTTATTTTTTTTAGATATGAAAAATGCCTTCTAAAAAGTATCGTACATATAATCGTGTAAAGCAATCATTTGACACTTATAATAGTATATGTGTAGCTTGATAAATAATGCGTAGTAATATCACTCCTTTGATGCTAAGCATCTGCAGAAAGGGTTAAGAAAGAAATACAAGAATACTAAAATTTTGGATGACAAACACCTCTCCCGCAGTTTAATAAGACAAGGGGGTATAATTTATTCTCAAACTTTCTCGCACATTCTCAAAATTATATAAAGCCCCTTAATGATCTTTACATATAAATAGCATTAAATTTTTTGGCAAAACACCTTTGACTAATCATCCACTAATTTGCAACTCAGGATCGGCTAGAGAAGATCTAGGGACTTTCATGTTTTGCGATGATCAATTGTAAAAGGAATATAAATATAAAAATGGTGGATGTATAGGAAGGTTTAGATAGGAAAAAAAAAATAAAATCAATTATATATTATTGCCGAAGTCGCCCAGACTCTTCGAACTATCAAACTACATAATTTATCATTTTCTAAAACTATTCCGCAAAATGCTTTTGAAATTTGAAATTTTTTTTATTGCACTCTTCACTATCGTATTCATCATCTATGAGATGCTCTTTCGAGGTATCATAACGCTAGATATGCTCCAGGCTTTTTTTCAGAAATAAAATCATCTATATAAGTCTTGTGGCCTTATTCATCTATTTTCACTGAGAAAGGCCTAAGGGAAATAATAACCCTGAAATCCTGGAGATAAAAAATGATCTCCAGAGAGTGTGTGAAGAGGCTGAATGGAGAAATGATGAATCTCTCAAGGTATAATATTCTTTCGTATGACCGATTTTTTTCAGGATGAGATCTAATATGACTTATTCTCCCCTAGCCGGCTCTAATCAGTTTTCGACTACAAGTAATATATCAACTGGATGATATTCCGTTTATAGTAAGGATATAGAAACATATTGGATCGAGTTTTCAGCTCTCTTTGATCAAAGAAGAAAGAGAGAAGGTTGTTCCCCTGCACAATTATATAATATATTATCTAATAAAAATGAGGTTGGACTTAGTCCGGCCACGTTGGTGAGTTTCTATAGACATCAAACAATTCCGAGAGCGACGACAATGGATAAAATAAAGGCCTGGGTTGATAGAGAAAATGAAAAAAAGGTGGTTAGTTTTTCGAGAAGCAGTAGTAGCAGTAGTAGTAGTAATAATAGTAACACTTTCAGTGGGGGTAGTAGTGCGAAATAAAAATGGTGCTGGGACTCTCATTTATGGCTTAGGATCCGCGTACTCCCTCCCTCTTTGATAGCATCTTACATTTCATTCGCTACCTCCACTTTAAAATTAATAAAATTTGGGCATTGAATTTTTATATGCATCTAAAAAAACTGGTCAAACAGGTTACACATTTTTTTTTGACTTTGATCACGTTAAAAATATGGGGTCGCTGGCACCCAATCATATAACTGATAAGGGCACATTGATTTTGTGATCAATCCGCAGTTCAAATTATACGCGTTCGTTAAAATCGTGATATCTGATATTCATCATCATCTTTATTTAGCGAGACGTAAAATGTACTTGTCACCCGAATGCTTGAACGATCTTAGATACCGTGGTAAGGCAAATTGTAGCAGTAATTTCTTATAACATGCTTATAGCGTAACCTGACTTTTGTTAAATACGTAGTCTTTTGGGAGAGTACTGATGAGCCATCGCTTAATAAGTTTTTGAATTATCGAATACACGCGGAAGATTTGAAAGATGAGGTGGCGGAACATAATCAATACATAGGAGAACTAAATTCTATTAGCAAATATTATCCCGAAATGTCTGAAATTGGAAAAAAGGTGAAAAAATTTAAGCAAGATTTCAAGGTATTATTCTTTATAATTTAATGGTGTTGATGTGAGGCGTGTTAGTATGCAGTATATCATTTCACAGACTACTTTGCGGACTGCGTGTTCGTAAAGGAAAGACTGCGTGTTTGTCTGGAAATTGTGTATTAATACGCAGTACTTCACAGACTACTTTGCGGACTGCGTGTTCGTAGGGGAAAGACTGCGTGTTTGTCTGTGCTTGTGTGAATATGCAGTAGTAATTCATGAACTACTTTGCAGACTGCGCGTTTGTAAGGGAAAGACTGCGTGTTTGTTCAGGAAAAGCTACGTGTTTGTGTATTTGTATATGTAACACTTCACGAACTACTTTGCGGACTGCGTGTTCGTAGGGGAAAGACTGCGTGTTTGTCCAGAAGGGTTGCTTACTTGTCCATGACGGTCTTATTTTATTTTTATGTGCAAATAGAATAATTTGTTACTATCTTTTATTCCTTCAAAAACAGAATGATAAAAACTCGCAACAGATAAATCATTTTTGGGATCTGCAAACGAAGAGACAAAATATTATCACGGAGATAAAGTTGCTTGAAGAAAGAAACAAGTTAATTGAGAAGGAGCTGGAGAGTCAGATTAATCTTGAACAGGTATATATTGACGACCCACATCACGTTTAGCCTTGATATTTGTACGCTGAAAGTACATTCCCTTTTAGACTCAACAAATTCTGGATACGGCAAGAGAGAACCGAGGTCAAGTTAGTTTATTACAACGAGCAATTACAGGAAAGATTGAAAAACGCATATTGGATGAAACACAAGTATCTTGCAAACAACCTAAAAGGAAGATCAAAGTTATTAATGGGAGTGAAACTGCACATTATTCTGAATCTAATGATGTAGAAAATGATGAAGAGATCAGAGATCTTACGGAGGTATTTTAGCATTTACTATCTTTTATGTATAAGAATTTGGGAGGAGATGAACATCTAGAAACGAAAAAACGTGAGGATGACGAGAAAAAAATTTTCTACTTGTTTTTATGTGAACAGGCCAAAACAACCATAAGAAATGAAGGAAACATAGATAACGATACATCATTGAGTTCCAAATCAACCCTCTCCACGTATAAAGAAGAGGAAACCGATGGGGATGAGATTCAATTTAATGATTCAGACGATGATTTCCGAGCCAGAACTCAGGTTAGTTAATTGATCCTTCTGATACATTAATCGCTTATAATACATATTTAGGAGTGTATATTAATTATTTGAATTGTTTTCGTATTGTTTGAATTTTTGTGAATCTTTTTTGTTGTAGGAATGCTTTAACAAGCGTCCTTTATCTTCTGAAGATGAATTGGATTCAAACAAGGTCAGACTAGGACTAATTTATATATCATTTGTCTCATTATTTCATATTGATATTATGCCTTTGTTATATCATTTTTTAATATGCAGACCAAAACAGATTCTACGTTTAACGTATCATTCGACGAATACACTACTGTACCATCTGGTAATGATCCCAAAACGCTATTACCGCCTAAGCAGGGTACTCTTAAACGTCCACTCGATATTTATGAAATGGACTTGGATTGGGCACCGTGGAAGTTCGATGCCATAATTAACGATATTGACATAGAACAAATCCTTCTGGATTTATATAAAAAATGTCAAAAAAAGAGACCGAAAACGAAAACGTCACTCGATTGTGGCATTATTGACCTCAACGAAGGTGTTATTTTAGAAGCTCTAGGCGAGTCGACAAAGATGTACTTCGAAGAAAAAATACAGAGATATAAACCTAGAAAAGTCATATCTGAAGATGTTGCAAAGATCTTGAAAAAATTTAATGTAGTAAGTAATCAAAGAATAATTCACGAAAGATAATGATTGGTTATGATTACTTAATCCAGTTTTTTTAGACATCCTTAGAGGATCTTGGAAAAGTACTATCAGAAGTCAAAATCGACTATAAGAGTCTGGATCGTGATATTGTTTATGTGCATCGCCTCTTTCAAAAATTGTAAGTGTTTGGATCATGGTATTGAAATGTAGTTACTTCCTAATATTGATTTCGTGCCAGTTTTCTACTATTCCAGGATAATGGTTCGTTGAACCTTAATAGCTTTGAACTACATGAGGGGTGGTATAATAGCCACATTGTGGCGCCAATTTTCGACGATTGTCTCGAATCGGTTGATGAATGGATTCTCCGACGGTATGAAAAGTACATTTTATACTGATGCTTTATGTTCTTAACTGATTATTTTCTTCATTGGCATAAGAGGTGAAGTTGAAAGTTGCGCCCAGAAATGTCTTGATCGAAGAACACGGAAAAGAAAAAAATACGATGGTATTCTTTCCTTTAGTCGACAATTTGAATTCATCTACATAGAAACAGCCACCACGTCCATACTCTCAAAAACGGAGGGTGATTTGTCAAAACTACATCAGGCCATAATTCTCATGTTTAAACTAATGGTGTCCACTCTACCAGAAAAACTTTTAGAAGAGATATCATCGATGCCTGTTCTCTGTGTTCAATTTAATGGTGAGTTAAAATTTTTATTTGTTAATTGCAACTATTTTGCTAAAGCTTTGATTGACATATTATAGGAGCAAGTATTGAGATATATCTAGCTAATTGGCCAATAAATATGCGGCCAATCGTTTTTTCAATCATGGAATTCGATATACCAGAAGAAGTAACAGCATTGCCTAAACTAACGAAAGTAGCGGCAAAAATGTTATCATTGCGGGTAATTATCTTCCTATTATATCTGTTAAGTATTGGTGTACTCTGCTAACCATTGATCTTTATTATTTGTAGTCATTTATTCTAGATCTAAATAAAAAATATCAAGTGCTACTAAAGAAAGCGGCCAATTATTATTTAGATGAAGATAATGTCTGGGATTCGCCACTAAAGTTGAAAGTTCGTTGTTAGATAGTTTATTTTCTTCGAAATTTTAAAATGTACTGTACTTCGCTACTATGATAAGCCTAACCTTCGGAAAAATTAGTATTTTCATATGATATGTGTATTTAAACATATATTAATAATTTGCCCACATCGGGCCTGTTTTATATTAAAATAATAACAAACAGACAATATGTACGAACGGTAAAGTAATTAGCAGAATGCTCACGTGATTTCATCAAGATGAAAAAGATTATGTAATTTCCGAAATTTTAAGATAATGTACTGCGCCATGTAATTAATTCATTTTTCTGCGCAATTTTGACGAGATATTTGGATACCGTGTCCAATAGCATAGAGAAAGTTTGTTTTTATTGGTTAATAATCAATGTGTGTGACAGTATTATGATTGGCTAAATAAATAATATGCGATAATACTACACAATTACATTTTTACAGTTATTTTTTTTGTATTTTTGCTTCAAATTAATTAACTATCTCATTATGGTTCAAAAAAACCATGGCCCATGTTCAGTACATAACTGTAATAACCAAACATCCCATTTTCGACAATTTACTTTGTTAGCATATGAAAAAGCTCAAAAAAAAGGAACTTACGAAGCATATACATATTAAGAATCGGACAACAATTGTGTCATAATCATTATATGAGCATTGTTGAACCTTAAGTCAGAAATTCCTCTTTTTTTAGAAGCCGACGAAAATATAACACATCGTAAATATAAAATTATAATTAGTTAGCCGTAAAAATAATAAAATCAGAGTTGCATTCGATCATCTAAACCTTTTTATAATGATCTACATAATAACGGGCTTAGATCGAGAATACAGCTCCAATTTTATTGTTTTTACAACTAACTATATTATAATTTTTTATATATATAGAATTAAAAAGTTATTCATTTGCCGAGCAGATTACTATACTTACAAAGGTTTTATATGAGCAGCGTGGTAATTTAGAACTTAATCCTACACATTTTAAACAAATGATTAAAGCAGCAGATCTGCGTTTACAAGGCCTTTTTGATAAATTAGTAAAGGCATTAGTTCCTGATAACAGATCTGCATATAATAAAGTTGAAGCAAGAAAAACAATTGTGAGCTTATGTTATATTATGGCTGGAATGCGAAATAAGTTTGTTAATAATTTCAAATTAGAAGTTGGATTATTTTTATCGGCATCAGGATTAACACGTAATGCAATCGATACAATGAATAGTATTGGATTTTCTGCTTATTATACAACAGTTAATAATTTTAAACAAAACTTGTAAATGAACACCCATTAAACATTAGAAAATTTCTTTCAGAAAATGTAAATAAAATTAAAAAAAAAAATTTTAAAAAATTTTTATTAACCAAAATTTAATTACAAATAGAATGACTATTTGCACATCTATAACCTAGATGATTATCATGATATACATGAAAAAAGAAGACCTGATACTGTAACCTTATCTACTGCTAACCACATAGCCACTTGTATTTGTAAACAGGTTTCAAATTGTGTACCAATACCTATTGTATTTAATAACGTGTTAGTTCATAATCCAATAAACATTGATGCAAGCAATATATGTTTTCGATTAATTTATGAATATCATAGAATATTTGATATTGCATATACCAATTGTAAAATCCAATAGCTCACTAATAGACAATTAGCTAATAATACCTTTGATCAAATTGATCTACTTACAGTGCATTGTTATGATAATGCAATTGCTGAAAGAAAGAAGAACGTTCAATAAAAGGGATACGATTAATTGGATTTCAAAAAAAGAATTTGCATTCTATGAATAATTATATAGAAGCATTACAAATGGTCTTAAATATTAATAAAGATACTGGATACTTACATAATAATATTGCACACTAGTAGCAGATTGGCCTGGACAATTATTTATTCGCAAAGCAATAACAAATTTGCATAAAGCAAATTCACAATATTCAATACCACCCAAGATTAATTTATTCATTCCAATTTTAGGACCTCTTCATGTTTCTCTAAATAGTAGAGAACATGTATTAATTATATATTATATCTTCTTCCAAAAACTGTTTCATTTTATATTTGGTAAAAGAAAGGTATTAGCAAAGAAACCTAAACCTTAAAGAATAAATTTGCTACTTGATTTAGCATATAATGGATGGTATAAAATTAGAGATACTATTTTAACAAAATTTGAAAATACCTGATAAGATATTGAATATTGTATGATTATCGATCTATTAGATAATGTAATTCTAGCAACTTTGGATGTGTATTCAATTCTATTTCAATTAGACTCATTTAATGAGTATATAGAAATAATTTTTCGAATTTGAATATTTGCACTTTGATGGAAAAGACATAATTACAATAAAGTACTATTAGCCTTCTTATTAGACATTTTTTACTGGCAAGATACAAATCATCCTTTTTCTGAAGCTGTAAAATTATTTTTAGTTAACTTTAACGATTATTATGTTGAGAATATGCATAGTAAAATAAGAGCTCATACACCTGTAAATAGCAATGTTGACAATATTATAAAACAAGCTTATGTGATTGATATTTTTTTTCTATTTGCTTATTTTATATAATATACATTTGTAATATCATCTGATTTCCATATGGTTGTATTAGATGAATGAGACCATTGTGAACTTAAAGATACTTTTCAAAAATCTAAGACATATCTTTACAAGTTATTGGCATTAGACATTCTAACAAAAAAAACATCATTATTTTTATTAGACTATTTTAAAGAAATTTACAAGAATCGCGAAAAAAGTAAATTATATAAATCAAAGAAAAAACACAATGTCAATTAGCTATCTTAAAAGAGACTGTTGATTCAAGATGCCTTTCAACAGGATATAGTGTTAATATGGTCCCATTACCAGATTCTTGTGATCATTGCCATAAAAAACTTGATGAAGGCGAAGTATTAATCTGTGGGCATGGTTATCATTTTGAATGTTATCAAATAATAGAATATGGATGTCAACATTGTGAAGAATATTATAAACGTGAAATTTATAGTAATATGAATTCTTTTTTAGATCAATTAGAAAAAGGTCCAAATATTCTTACCTCTGATGAACAAGATACAACCTCAATAGAAAAAGAAAATGAGGCGGTGGAAGAAGTAAAGTAAATAGGAGTCAAGAAATGCATATAGAATTTATAAATGCACTTAGTCACGTTAATACTTGGTAATATTACCTGTAATATAATAAATAAATTTTTTATTAGATTAATAAAGAACTTTATTTTAAAGAATTCAAAATAAATTTTAATTTTTTAAAAATTAAATACTCTTTTTAGAATAACTTTTGAAATTTCAGTTTAAATTTACCAAGATTATCAATATATTTCTTTAATTAAAGAAAATGCTTCATATAAAACTCTCTGAAACATCAGATGTCATTAGATATTATTGACTTTAGCGAAAGAAATAGCTTTAGAGAACAATTTTGCGAAGTTTCATTATATATTACTTAGTAATATTTGTGACTTGTCATATGGTCGATCATAATTTAATTAAATTCTATTATAAAATGCATATAAATAATTGTATAATGATGATCATTAAATTTAGACTTTCCCTATGCTGTGTTCAATCAAAAAAATATATAATAATGATGGCTTAGTTACTACGTGCGTAAAATCTGATTGGTTGATCTTCATGATTTGAGTTGCAGAAAGGTTGCGAGAAAGTGCTGGGAACTGTTTAGGAGTTAAGGTGATACAAATTTTTATGTTATACTGCAACGCTCCTGGCTAATCCTCGATTAATCACGAGAGATCCATATACAGCGTCCTTAACTAAATCAAATGTAAATATAAAATTAGCATATAAATCCTATATAAATCCCGATATGCTTATAATCGAATAAAAATAAATCTGGTATTTTATTATAATATACTTGCTATAAATCATTATAAGTCATTAAAATTGCTAAAAACGCTATAAATCACTAAACTGCTATAAATTATTTATATCCGTAAAATGGCTAAATTTAATGGTTTGAATTCTGTAATAGTGTAGGCGTTAAATAATCTGCAATATAGGTATAATGGTGAAACACCAGAAATATGGTGTTCTCGTATTCATTCTCCATTTAAGAAACTTCTTGAATATAACTCAAAATACTTTTCAAAAAATGGATTTATCCAAATGGTTGAAAGGAAATATATAAATGGGAAATTTAAAGCTGAGAGACGCTTATTTAATATTTATTGTACTGTATGCGACTCCTTAGTAATTATTCGTGAAAATACCATTAAATGTGCTAATGATTACCTGAATAAATGTATTGTTACTAAAATTCATTATAATCATATACAAAGGAATACGAAAAAAGGAGGAAAAGTAGCATTGCTTAGTCCTGATAAGATTGAAGAGATTATCTAACATATTCAGTTATATACAGTAGAGACTTGAATCATTATAGTTATAATTATTCACATGAAGGTAGGAAAACTGTTGCATATCGCTTATTTAACAGTACTAAACTTATCCAATAGGCTTGGCAGAGTTACAGGATGAGACCCAAATTGTTGGTAAAAATAATTTGCAAGACAGTAAGGAATGATGATACTTCTGATAATAAGAAGTATTTAGGTATAACTCCTCATATTGACTGGATATTTGATAAGAAGTATCAATTATATTTGAGATTAGCTAATGTAATATATAATATTATTTTTAAAATATTATACCAGTGAGGCTATAATGTCGTTAGAGGTTTAGATTGGTCTAACCAGCTAAAGTAGCTACAAAATCCTAAATATTATCATATTGATAAAGATAACATTGAATATCTCATTAGAGTTACAGAATGTTAAAAATATAAGGCTAATTCATTAGATGTAAGAAGAATCTGTAAGCATATCAGAAAATAAATTATTGTACCTCTAGCAGTAAAATGTATCACCTGTGATATTTATTAAATTTTTTTCTATAGAACGCGTCTTAATAAAATAATATATTATATTGTCTAACTACAATGCATGT